TCTGGGCAGGTCACTCCCAGGGCCTCCTCCTCCTCCCTCCCTGAGGTCCCGGCCCTCGGGTCCTCTGAGGCCCCGCTTTCTCAAGCGAGGCTCAAAGTGGGCAGAGACCGCTCTGTTGGAAACTGTGGCCAGTACCTTAAAAACTGTATATGTTTTGACCCAGAAAATCCACCTCATGGATTCTGCCCTAAATAGAGATTTATGGACGCAGATGTTCCCTTCAGCATGATTCTGAGAGTGAAAAATGGCAAGTGGCCCATGTCCCATAGCAGGGGCTTTTCGGAAGTTCTGATCCGGGGCCCCAGAAAATGCGGAGGAGGAAGACGATGAACTGATCAGCACCCGCCCGGGGGAACAGGTTCCAGAAGGGCACACGTGCCCAGAGTCCTCCCCACCTGACACCCACAACTGCACACGCACACACGTGCACATGGGCACACACACCATGCGAGAATTCCTGTGGGTAAACTCCTGGGATTAGCTCTGCAGGTAAGGGGTTGCACCTGTGGAGCTTTGGGGTCCTGTGCACTGTTCTCCCAGAGAGGAGTGTCCTTCCACGCTTCCCTCTAGAGGACCTGCTGGGCCTCTGCTTCCTCACACTGTCCCCAGGGCTGGTCGCCACCAGACTAGAAACCTGTCGGTGTGGTGTTGACAGCGCCGTCTCCACGGCGTTTACATCTGCGTGTCCTCATTGGGAGGTCAAGCGTCTCTGACTTGTACTGACCACGTGTGTGGCCTCTTGTTGGAACTGCACGTGTTTGTTCTCTGTCCCTTTTTAAAACATTGCCTTTCAAGATCTGGGGGACCACAGGGGTGTCAAACCTTTCTCTGGCCCTGGGATGTGAGGAATGCTGTTCGAGTTTGTGGTTTGTCTTCCCAGCTTTCTACATGTTTCTTGTTTCTGTTTGGCCATGGGAAGAGCCAGGCGTTTCCCTTCTGTCTTCTGTCTCTGGGGCCATACTCAGAACAGGGGTCTCTACCCTGAGACTGCACACATATTTACAAAAAAGACTTCAATTTGTACATCGCATCTTTAATCCATCTGGCGTTTCCCTTTCATATAATAAAAATGCTATTTTAAAGTAAAAAAAGAAAACAAAAATTAACTACTCCCCTCTTAAAATATGTGGCCTACACAGAAAGCCACCTTGTATAATTCCATTTATAGGAAACATCTAGAACAGGTAAAGACACAGAGACAGAGATTACAGGTCGTCAGGGGCTGGGGGGGAGGAAGGGGGAGTGAGCGCTTTGGCTCAGGGATTCCTTCTGGGGAGTGAAACAGTCTGCCCGAGACCCTGGGAAGGTTGCACAGAACTGTGAATATACTCGATGCTCCTGGAATGCACAATTTCAAATTTAAAAAATTAAACTTGGTTATATGAAGACGTAAAAGACACCATAAACAATGTGAAATGAAAACATAAAATTAAAAACCAAATCAGAAACAGTAACAGGGGAGGGGAAGGGAAGTTCGGGGGTGCGGGGAGTGGGTAGAAGTGGGTCAGGAGCTGACACTGAGCGTGGTGCCAGAGCTCGTTCTCCCCGCAGGGGTAGTGGGTCTCCTCCGGAGCAGGTGCAGCCACGGGCCCTGGATGCAGCGGTGCTGATGCAACTGACTGTGATGTCGGCTCCCACTCTGGTGCCGCCGCTCGAGGCGTCCCTCCAGCCACTGATGGAAACGCTTCCAGCTCTGGACCTGGCTTTAGTTCTGTTGCTCCTTCTGCAGCTGGATCTAGGTCTTCAGATTGTACAGGGGCTGGTGCTGGAGCCAGTTCTAGATCCTGAGATGGCAGTGAAGGTGCAGGAGGAGATCCACGTGCCTGCCTCACACACGTGCCTTTGCAAGCAAAGGAAACAGCCCGCGGCCTTTTACAGAGGCTCCATCCGGGATCTGAGACAGGACGTCTCCCCGACAGCGGTCCCCACGTGGACGGTCTGAGGCAGCCCCGGGGGCTCCTGCGTGTCCAGCACCGACCCCGCTCCTCACCCTCCGGCTCTGCCTTGGTGAGCTCTGTGCGCTCCAGCTGGGCCAGGAGAAGGTGGGCGCGGCACTCCAGGTCGGAGCCGGGCATGTTGAGCTGCACGTAGGCCACCAGCTGCTTGAGGCACGGGAAGTCCGGGAGCTGACAGAAGTCCTCGGAGTACTGGTCCAGCCAGGTGCCCAGGATGGAGGAGACGGCACTGGGGGCAGGCGGGCGGGCAGCAGTCAGGGGCCTGGCCTTTCCTTCCACGCGGCCCTCCCCTGGCTCCCCCATGGGGGCTGGGCTTCTGGGCCCGCCCCTGCCCCACCCGCACTGGGCTGCCAGGCGGGGGCAGGCCTGGTCGGCAGGCCTGGTAGGAAGGGGCCCTCCGTCCCTGGTGGCCACCTCTCCGTTCCTCGGGGGAGCCTGACTCTCTCCTGTCTGCCCCCAGCCCCCCGGGCCCTCCCCACTGGGAAGGAAACTGCAGGAGGGCAGGGAGGGCCGCGCCCGCTCTGTTCACCGCGCTGGCCTGGCCGCACACAGTAGGCGCTGCATAAACAGGGGAGGGAGGAGGGACAAGCAGAGTGCGCCCCTGCCCGGCCTTCACGGGCCTCGCGCACCGGAACCGGAAGCTCGCGCACCGAAGGCTGCCTTGGTCTGTGCGCCGGGGTGCGGGTCTTGTCCTCCCAGGGACGCCATTCTTGGTGGTGGGGACGTAGCCAGCCCCCTGACCCTGACCCCTGCGCTCCCGTGAGCCCCAGCTGAGCACTCACACTGGGCTGCGAGGCTGAAGTGTCAGCAGCTTGCCCCCCACACCTCCTGTCCTGGGCCCCGGATCTGAGGGGGGATGGATGCTCTCAGGGGCCGGCTCTGAGCCCCCAGCCTCCCCTCTGCTCCCTGGGGACATGGGACCCCAGCCACAGCTCTCTGACTCCTTTCCTCCTGCAGGAGAAGCCCCCAGACCTCAGCCCTCCAGCGGGAATCACAAGATGTGTGGCAGCCAGGGTTCTGCCCAGCCCCTCCCATCAGACCCAAAGTCTACTCACTTTTTCAGTTGGTCCTGAGGTCCGCCGTCCTCGCTGGAATAAGGGAGGATGCACCCGTATCTAGAGGAGGCCGTGAGGCTGTCATATCTACTGTGCCTGCTGTGATGTCTATCGGGGCTGGCTGACCCCCGACTAGGGTGAAAGCCCGTGCTCTGCCTCCCCCCTCCTTTTACCTGAGCCCCTCTGGAAGTGTCCCCCGGGGCCGGCCCTGGCCGCTCTTGCTGGAGCGGCCCCCATCCGGGCTCTGGGCTCCGTCAGCCTGTGCCTCCCTTCAGGTCCTCGTGTACCTGAAACCGCCCAGCTCATCTGTGTCCCATCATCCACCGAGTCACCTGCTCAGTGTGGCCACCCCTGTCCGCCCTGCTCCCAGCGTCCCCAGGACCGGCAGCACAGCCAGTAACCGAAACACACTCTCATTGCCCCTGCTGGTCTTCACCGGCCTGTGTCTGGTGCAGGTTCCAGGGGGGTCCTCAGGGGACAGAGGATGGCCAGGGCCAGGTAGGCCACCCTGGGGAATGGGGTGGGGTAGGGGTGCTCGGGGGGTGCCCGCCCTCCAGGGCTGCTCCCCTCCACCCAGCCCGAGTCAAGGGCGAGAGAACAGGGCCTCCTCGCGTGTCCCTCGTCGCCCTGCCCGTGTTGCCCTCCCCAGACGGCCTGCTTTTGAAAGGTGGTGTGGACCCTCCACCTTGGGGAGGCCCAGCTCATGTTCCAGAGCTCCCGTCCACAGCCGTTGAGCCTTCTCACACTGCGCTGATCTCGAGGGTCTTGGCTGCCCACTCCGGCCTCCCTGGAGCGCCGAGCGACAGGCCCGGCCAGCTCTCTCCAGAGAAGTTCGGGAAATCTCACCCACGCACACCGAGGGAGGTGTCTTGTGCGGGGGAAAGTCTTGGGGGGACCCCTCAATTTACCTGCCTGTGAATTTGCATGCCCATACTTCATGTTCGCAAATTAAACCAATGCCTGTCAGTTGGTGGTTTCAAACTGGCATTCAGCTCCTTGCCCCTTCCAAACTGTGAACCCTTCCAGAAAACATCAGGGACCTCCACCTCGCATGCCCCCCCCCGAAAGATACTGAGCGGGCCTGTGGGACCAGTCTTCCTGCCCCCGTGTGCTACTGTAGGACGTGGACTGGCATGATGCAACCATCCACACGAGGCCATCCTGTTCTGACCCCACCAGACCCTGCTGCCTGGACCCTCAGCAGCAGACAGGGTCCTGGGGTGGTCATGTACACCGGGAGCCACGGGGTGGGGTCCTGGAAAGCAGGGGCCCACACCTCATCCCAGGAACACAAGTGTTGCCAAGGAAGGTCCCACAAATGAGGGGGCATCCAAAAGTTCCTGTGAACAGGGTCCCATCTTACCCGACCACCTGGGGAGGATGCCTGTTCAGGGCATGGGCAGGACACGAGGGCCTCGAGCCTCAACACCGAAGACGGTGTCGAGGGGCAGCCGGTGCCGTCCCATCCAAACCCACGTGCACATGCCTGCCTGTCTCCCTGAAGCTCAAGGACCCAGGGGGCAGGAACGTGTCTCGTGTGTTCCAGGGGCCCCGTGGGTGCCGATGAAAACAAAGCACACAGACCACACTGCAGGACCAATGGTCCAGGTCCCCATTCTGCCCAAATCTAAGTTTTATTCCTGTTGAAATCATGCTGTCTGCTTTGTCCAGCCTGTCCCAACCCGGATGGAATCTTCTTAGTGGCTCACCCTGCAACCTCACGTTATAAAACAGCCCCTGAAGCCAGGCAGCAGGGAAGCAGCCCAACCTAGGGGTATTTTGGTTGAGAAAAGTCAACCTGGTGAGAACCTTCCTTACATACAAGGGACTCATCTTGAGGTAGAAGCAAGGACTTCAGACTCCAGGGACGGGATGTTTTCCGACGGGTCCTTTTCAGGCAGGCCACTTGCCCAGTGAGCCTGCTGGGTCCTCGGGTCTGAAGTGGAGCCCCGGGCGGACAGCTGCTGAGAAGCGCTCCTAGCAGCAGCGACCCAAAGCCTGGAAATAACTGGGAAGATGCTAAGGACCATGCCGGGCGTGGGTGTGGGTACAGGGGGTTGGTTCCCAGCTTCAGAACAGACTCAGCTGCTGTTTCACTCGGGAGAAGAGCAGGCAGGTCAAGGGGAATGACCCAAGTCCAGCTCGGCCTGCACTCCCGGGGAAGGAGGGTCGGCTGTACCGCGGCCCTTGGTGCCCTCCTGGCCCTGCAGTCGGTACAGGGCCTCGACCTGCTTGCGCTTCTCTTTGGCCCGGTTGATGGTGGTCTGGAAGAGCCTGCAGAAGAGCTGGACGGCCGGGGGCGAGTCGTCGTTTCCCGGGATGGGGTACGTGATGAGGGATGGGTTGCAGTTGGTGTCCACGATGCCCACAGTGGGGATGTTCATCTTGGCCGCGTCCCTCACAGCTATGTGGGGCTCAAAGACGTTGTTGAGCGTGTGCAGAAAGATGATGAGGTCTGGCAGGCGGACGCTGGGGCCCAGGAGGAGGGGCGCGTTGGTCAGCAGGCCGCCCTTGAAGTAGCGGGTATGGGCGTATTCCCCGCAGTCCCGGGCCACGTTCTCGATCAGGTGTGAGAACTGCCGCCTGCGGCTCACAAACAGGATGATGCCCTCGCGATAGGCCATGTGGGCCGTGAAATTCAAGGCCAGCTGCAGGTGCGTCGCCGTCTGTTCCAGGTCAATGATGTCCTGGTCCAAGCGGCTCCCGAAGATATACGGCTCCATGAACCTGCCGGACACCCACCAAGGCCAGTGTGAACCAGTCCCACGTGGCCACCTCCACCCGCCCTTTCTCACGCGCTCCCCCAGCCCCGGGCCCCTGCACGGGGGGCACGGCAAGCCCAGGGCTGGTACAGTCTGCAGCCCTCACAATGACGACGGCAGCGGGGACGCTGTCCCAGGAGTGACAGCTGCGGGCAGTGGGAGGGTGAGGGTGGGCAAGCAGGGCAGGCTGGGCTGCAGGCCACTCCATGTCTCGGGCAAGCGGCTTACCCCTCTGAACCTCCACCTGGCCGCACGGGGTGCCTAACAGAGTGGACCCACACGGACATCTGGACACTTAAACGTGACGTCCGGACAGCGTCCCACCCGGTGCTGCTTGTCTGGCTCCCATCCTTGACATTATCATCACCTTCGAGGCTTTACAACTCAGCCCCCCCCCCGGGGGGGGCTGGGGGACCAGAAAGGCAGGGGGTGCCCCGGGCTGCAAGCATGACAGGCCGGAGCAGGAGGCAGCCAGGCCTCGGAGGGGAACCCTGAGGGCACAGACCCGCTGGCCTGGGCCGAGAGCCGGGGCTGCGAGACCGTCCTCTTGCAACCCCCGCCCCATTCACTCTTCTGCTCACCCCCGCCAGGACTTTCTCTTCCTCTCCAAAGAGCCTTCCCAAGGCCCCACGTGCCCTCACCTCAGGTGACTTCTCCACAGCACCTACAGTGGCGTCCCTCCTCCCGTGCCCCGGCCCCGCCCCCTCTTCCCAGACTCTGAGGCACTGGTTGCCCAGGGCTCCCGCCTGGGACTTCCTCTCTCCTCCATCCCCCACTCCACATGTTCTCAAAAGGTCCTGATGTGGTGGCCCCTGGCCCAGGCTGCTTCTCCCTAGTGCCTGCGTGACATCCCCACTGGGGTAGCTGAAGAGTCACCCTCATAGGACCCAAGTTCCTGATGTGAAGTATGTCGACACCTGCTCTGGGCTCTGCTCAGCTGGACCTCCGGCTCTGCCCCCATCACCCCACATCCAACCACTGCTCCGGCTCTGCCGGCGCAGCTGGGCCCATCACCTTTCCCCTGAACATCTACAACCGCCTCCCTCCCTGGCCTAACTGCTCCTCCAATACACGCCCAACCCAGCTTTCAAAATCGCCACATGAAAAGACTGGGCCAGTCACCACTCCTCTGCGTGCCCTTGGAGACACCTCCGTGAGATGCCGACGGCCTTGCCAGCACTGCCCTCCCGGCTGGCCTGTCTGTTGGGGAACCAGCAGCAGCGGGCCTGGCCCCACCGACGACCAGGAGCCCCACAGCAAGGTCCGCGGGGTCTGGGGGTCGGGGGGAGCAAACGGGGCCTGAGAATAAACAGCTGCCCCTCCTTGGGGCTCAATGATCCCATCTGGAAGAAAAGGGAGCTAGACGCTCTTAAACTGAGGGCTTCTCTGGTGGCGCAGTGGTTGAGAGTCCGCCTGCCGATGCAGGGGACACGGG